ATCCAAAGTCCACTGTCCCCTCACAACAGCAGGCAAGTCTCCTGCCAAATCGACACAGTTCAAGGGGGATACAATCCAACCACCCTCTCACGGTGATTGGTCTGATGGTCAGCTCCCTCTGCTGGTGCGATGGAAGTAATGGACCAAATTACGGTATCCACACAACCCAAGGGGGGGTTAAAGTTCACACCACCCTCTCACGGTGGTTGGTCAGATGGTCAGCTCCCTCTACTGGCAAAATGTGAATAATGGGGTAAAACCAAATCGATTCAGCCCAAGGGGCACAAGCCAAGACCACCCTCTCACGGTGGTTGATGGTCAGTCCCCTCTGCTGATGAGATGGAAGAGATATACCGACCCCAAAGCATCCCAGCATATTTAATAATCCCTCCAACAGTCAGGGGGAAGGAAGGGCTCAGATGGAAATGAGCCATAAAGACAGATGTCAGTGTCCATAAACCAATCAGGCAGTGATGTTAATAAGCCAGTGAGTCAGTGAGTCGGTGGTGGCAGCAGCCAGTCCAGGATCGCCATAACATGTAGGGGAATGATGGAAAAACCCCAGCCCCCCACAATCCAATGGGGGGCTCCCAATGTCTGCAAGGAGCTGACCCATCAACTGGGCAACCCTCATACAGAACCTGGCCAATCCCGGAGCAGTGGATGTTGTCTGCCATGTTGACCCCCTCTGCCCTCTCAATAGGGCTCAGAGCAGATCCCTCCTCACCGCCATTTTCTCTGCCCTCGTCATACGGTACCATTTCAGCGGCAGCCGATATTGCCGCTGTTGCTACCGCTGCCGCTGCCATGCAAAAAGCCCTGGCAGCATCCCAGAACTCAGCAGGGAGCCCGGCGGCCCCCAGACACCCAGAAGAAAAAAACCTCGGGGCTCAGGAAACACCGCCGAACCGCAGACGTTGTAACCGCCATCAGCGAGCCATCAGCGAGCCACGAGCTGCCGCTACTCCGACCGCCGAAGACTCCGGCACAAGAAAATGCCGACGCCGCCCAGCTGACATAATTCACCGCCCCCAGACTTCACCAGCCGCGCCGAAGACGCCAACGCCAATGCCGCTATCTTCGTCCAGCCTCGATGTTCAAAGGGGGCGAAGCCCCCAATCGGCTGGCAAAGAACTCCCCCAACCGGGCCAGGGGTCGTAGATCTGCAAAACGACCCCCCAAGCGGACCTACAACAAGAACAGGCCACCAGCCTCCATCGCGGTTCAAGCAGGTACCGCCATCTTGGACATGCCAATAATAACCCTTTATCCTAACATGGTATTTATCATGTTATGTGAACAACCCACTGCCTGCCTTTTTCTATGGGGCCAAAAGAAACTCCTCTTTTTTGAAGGATTGGTAGCTAAGATGATATATCTGATAAACCTTATACTTTGAAAATCACACTTAAATCTTATTAGGAATCCATGAGAAGCTGGTGCAAAGTGTCTTTGGCACATTACTTGGACTTCTCAAACCCTATGTTAACATCATTCAGGCAAGTTAAATTTGTAGGCAGTAATGAGTGAGGTATGATCTTCTGGTGATGTTGACAAAAAAGCCTTTATATTTGGACAGCTCAGACAAGAGAAACTGAAACATCCAGCATCCTCGGCATGCCCTCAAATCACCTGACACACTGAAGAACTTCTCCTGTTTTAGTGGCCTGTGTGATTTGTCATCGGATGTGATGGCCCACTGAGTGGTTCTGCTCTATGCTACTTACCTAGATTTCAGGATCACAGTTCACCCCATTATTCTGGGTATAAATTAGTTCTCTCTGCAGGATGATAATCATGGTTCGTTATCATGGATAATCATAATTCATGGTTGGTTACACTATCAACTTTCTTCCATATAGATAGAAATGAAAATATTTGAATCTAAGAAGCATTCCAACATATTGTGGTTGTTTTTTTTTTAAATCTGATTCATGAAATGAGTGTCTTCTTGCAGCATCTTTTTTCCTGGAATAAAACACCACTCAAGCTATTCTTCAATTTTGTGACATTATTTACTTTTCCCATGAACTTCTAAGCTTGTTTCTAGCATGTCAGTTTTGGCATAACTGCGACTGCTTTACTTTCGCTTTGTCTGATTTAATGCCATCTTTCATTAATATTCCTACAAAATACTGTACTTCTTGTACTTTAATATTGGATAACCTGTTTGGTTTTTTGTTTCTTTAAATCAGCTTTCATCAGTGTCACACAAGAGTGCCCTTTGTCTATATCCTGATTCCTGGAGCACCTTTCATCAATTGTGTGGTGCACTGAAACACTTCAGGCCCAGAACACAAGCCACACTGCCCGCCTGCACTGAAAATTGACCTGATGTATTAAAAATACATAGCTATGTGTTTTTTTCATCCAGTAGTATATATCAAAATGTAGCTGATCCATTCAGCATTATGCCTGCAAGTTCCACTAAGAATATCTAAGGAGATTCTGCTAAGAATTCACTCATATCAGGCTGTTATAAGACTCTGATTGAATATATTTGTTTAATTCTTTGCGGCCCTGGCAAATCTTCAGATTTCCATCTTTCTTGTGAGCTAAGGCCAGGGAATGTCTCCTTCAGTTGCTTCTTCAATCAAATCTTCCCCTCATTTCCATTCTGCCCAGTTCTGCTTTTGGCTTTCTTTTCGATGCTACTGATATATTTCTCATAGCATATCCTGAACTAATTTTCTGCAGCATGGCTTTAAAACTATCAGGTTCAACTGCACGACTCAGGAATAAATGCCTTGGAAAAAGCCAGCAGGATCTCCAGGGGGATGAGGGTCCACAGGTTGGTCTGATGGCCACCCCCCCCCTTCCTGGATCCTGTCAGATGGCTCTCTCTCATGGATGAGACTCAGATCTTGCCCTTCCTTTGCGAGCTAATGGGCCAGGTAGATACTAGTGGGGAGAGAAAAGTCCCATAAGTAACATGGCTTAAGCCATGAAGGGCTTTATATATGACTCCCAGCACTTTAAATTGCACCTGGCTACACATAGGAAGCCAATGCAGCTTGCAGAGCAGTGGTGGCACATGTGCTGGATGAACAGCAGCACAACTGCACTTGCTGCTGCGTTTTGCACCAGCTGAAGCTTCTGAATGTGCTCCAAGGGCAGCCACGTGGGGAGAGAGCATTGCAGCAATCCCACAGCATGGGCGCCTGTGAGCAAGTTCATCTGACATTTCAGGGAAACAACACTTGTTGCCGTGGTTTATCTGGTCTTTTATTTCCATTATTTTCGGCTGCTCAGAAACACCGTCTTTCTCATCTTCAGTTTTGACTTCAGAAACAAAGTTCCAGCTCTGAAGCTATCAGAGAGTTGCAGAAGCTGCTGCGGAAAGATAACAGTGGCAGTGGTCACCAAAATATCACTTTACTGGCAGGGCTGGTTATGGGGGGAAAGGATGTAATTTTAAAAATTAAATGTGTTGTTTGCATGGACAAGTTTTGCTCTGGAGATAAAGCCAGGCCCCAGCAGACCCCAGCTGAGGTTATGGGAGCTGGAAATGACACAGTGGGACAACAAGAGAAACTGAAGGGATTCTTCCACCCTGGCTCCTTCAAGTTTGCTTCCCAGGTGGCCGAAAAAGATGCATTGCTTCAACCAATAGGCCATCCCATGGCCTCTGTGACAGATCACTCTGCATCTCTTCCCAGGCTATTTTCCTTTCCTTCCCCCAAACAAGCAAAGCACAAAAGGGTGGAAGTAACTCCAGCTACAGGTAATCTTCAACTTACAACCATTTATTTAATAATGGTCTGAGGTTAGTTACAATAGCCTTAGAAAAAAACACTTACAGCCTGCCCTTGAAATTATGAGCATCGCACCGTCCCTTAGTCACATGAAATTGCAGTTCAGGCACTTGGCAACTGACTTGCATTTTGACAGTTGTAGTGTCTTGTGGTCACACGATCATGATTTATGACCTCTCTTGCCAGCCTCCGACAAGTAAAGTCAATTGGGGAAGCTGGATTTGCTTAGCAACCATGTGATTCATTTTAAGGATCATGTGATTTGCTATCAACCCTCCCAGGTAAACCAGACAGGAAACACAACTAATGAATTAATTTTATTTCATTGTAAGGCTGATGTAGGAAATGACCATGATCAGTTTGGAATCTCTATGCCCCCAAAAGAGACCTAAGTCCAGCTCCCCCTTGACATCCATTGACTCTTATCAGGTGCCAATTGGACTTGACTGTTAATAGATCAGATTCTTGTGCCATGAGTGCTTTTGAACTCTATCCTGGCTCCTGTTTTCTTGAGCCTGACAGCTACATTGCCACAGAATCTAGCAAGTCTGAAGGCACAAGCTTCCCTCCTCCACTTTCAATGGCTTGATCTATTAGAACAGGTGCTTCTAAGTTTCTTCCTCTGACCATTAGGTGACAGGGATTCCCCCCTGCTCTTCTATGTTTCCTAAATAGCATCTCTTCCCTCATTCCCCAAGGTCATCCATGCATTCCATTACATTTGCTTAGACTGTGTTAAAATTGATAATAAAATTGGCTCTGTTTATGTGATTACTCACTTAAGAACCACATTACTTAGTGACTGAAACTGTGGACCCAATTGTAGTCATAAGTCACGAACTAAAAATTGCACCAGTGTACAGTATATTGGAGTTCTGATGGGAAAAAATATTCTAAATTTCTTTTTTTTCCTATACAGTATATATGCACACATAAGCTAAGAATTGTAAGCTCAAAAATGTACCCCCAAAATTAGTTTGGTTTATCCATGGATAGTACATTCAATATTTAAGAGTTTACTCTGTTGGCTAGATTAGATCTGAACCCAAGATCCATTACAGCACATTTGTTTTCAGAATGCCTATACTCATTCATAAAAATACTGTGTGCACAATCCTCATTTCTTTGTCTCTCAAGAACATCTCCCCCTTTCTGGCCCTGATTAGAGTGACTTCCTCAGAGACAAAGAGTGATCAGACTCAGTTTGTAGAAGGCAAGGCTGATAAATGAGTCAAGATACGTTACCAGTGTGGTGAAGATGAAGTGGTAGTATTCTGTCATCATCCCCATCGCCATGGCCTGGGAAAATGCAGAGAGAAGGAGGTTAAAAGACTACCTGTGAAATTGGGCCCAAAGGAAGAGGCACCCAAGGCCTGATCAGAAAGGACCACTTTGCTGATGGACAAGCAGCTCCTGGAAGCTGAGATCATCCCCTTTGCTAGGAGGATCAATGCAAGGTTTGTAGGAAACACAATGACATGGGATGGTTGGAGTACTGGTTTGCCATGTACTATACAGCTATTTAAGAAACAATCCTGGGTCGCTTCTTCGTCAAAGTGAGGAAACTCTAGTTAGAAATGTCAATGAAGATTCTCAATCTGAGAGTTGCCTGGAAATTGAGTCATGGCAATTGGACTTGCTGGAATGTATCAACTCCTAAAATCCTTAAGGGTCATTAAGTGTGGCCTCCCTGGTGAACCTGTGAAGTGGTCTTAATCTTCCTGGGGATTGATGAGAGAGCAGGATTTTAAAAAATGAGGGACAGGTTGTGTATAAAGTTTCCACCTCTATTGAGGGAAGAGTTTTCCAGTTTTAGGATTAGAATTTTTAGCATTAGAATTTTAGGAGTCGCTACATTCCAACAACTCTGCCTACTCAGATTCCGCCTAACCAACTTACTCAGACTGAAGAAGCTACTTGGACAAACTGTGAAACATTTCAAACCAACAAGAAAATAAGTCCAGTTGCCCAACTTCCAGACTGGGTCAAAGAAATTGTGAAAGAAATCAATATGCAACTGAGAATGGGATGCTGGGAATTTCTCCTTATTTCTAGGTTGAATTTCTCCTTGATCAGTTTCCATCCATTGTTCCTTATCTGGTCTTGAGGTGTTTTGGAAAATACATTGTAACCCCCACTCTCTGTGACAGCCTCTCAAGTATTGGAACACTGCTATCCTGTCTCCCCTGGTCCTTCTCTTCACTAGACTAGCCATACCCAATTCCTGCAACTGTTCTTCATATGATTTAGCCTCCAGTCCCCTAATCAAGAGCCATGGTGGTGCAGTGGTTAGAATGCAGGCTACTTCTGCTGACTGCCAGCTGCCTGCAATTTAGCAGTTCAAATCTCACCAGGCTCAAGGTTGACTCAGCCTTCCCTCCTTCTGAGGTGGATAAGATGAGGACCCAGATTGTTAGGGGCAATATGCTGACTCTGTGAACCACTTAGGGCTGTAAAGCACTGTGAAGTGATATACAAGTCTAAGTGCTATTGCTATCCTCTTTGCTGCTCTTCTCTTTACTCTTTCTAGAGTCTCAACATCTTTTTTGTAAACTGGAGACCAAAACTGGATTCAGTATTCTAGGTGTGGTCTAATTAAGGCTTTATAGAATGGTATTAGTATCTCATGTAATCTTGATTGAATCCCTTTGTTAATGCAATTTAGGATTGCATTGACTTTTTTGGCTGCCGCTGCACACTGCTTTCTTATATTTAATAGGTTGTCCACTAAGACCAGAGGTGGTCTTCACATACTGTAGCAACTGGTTCGGCCAACACCGGAAATGTGAGTGCACATGTAGCAGCACAAACCACAGCAATTCGCTCATGCGCACCATCCACACATACATTATGTGCAGCGTCAAAAACACAGCGATATAGGACAGGATTGCACCCAGGCGGGTGGGCAGCCCAGACTACTGGGTCACCCGAACCAGTCCGAACCAGCTGAATACCACTTCTGACTAAGACTCCAAGATCCCTCTCACAGTTACTGCTATTAAGCCAGATTTCACCCAATCTATATATGTACTTTTGGTTTTTCTTGCCTAAGTGTAAGACTTTACTTTTCTCTACATTGAATTTCATTTTACTAGTTAGGGTCCAGGGTTCAAGTCTGTCAAGATTGATCTGGATCTTGAGCCTATCATCTAGGGTGTTGGCTATTCCTGCCAGTTTAGTATCATCTGCAAATTTGATGAGTTTCCCTTCTATTTCCTCATCTAAGTCATTTATGAAGATAATGAAGAGTACTGGGCCTATTCTATCTCTCTATTAATGCAGCCTATGATTGTATTGGCTTTTTTGGCTACTGCCACACACTGCTTTCTTATATTTAAATGACTGTCCACTTGGACTCCAAGATTCCTCTCACAATTACTGCTGTTGAGCCAGGTTTCACCTAATCTGTAGCTGTACATTTGGCTTTTCTTGCCTAAGGGTAGAACTTTGCTTTTCTCTCCATTCAATTCATGTTGTTAGATAGGGCCCACTGTTTCAGTTTGTCATGATCCATCTGGATCTTCTGGGCTATTGGCTTTTCCTGCCATCTTAGTGTCTCGTAAGTACCCCGGCTTAGGGCCGGGGTACTTACGAGACCGCCTTCTGCCACCAATAGCCTCCCACCGGCCAGTACGCTCCCACAGAGTGGGCCTCCTCAGGGTGCCGTCCGCCAGACAATGTCGGCTGGCGACCCCCAGGGGGAGAGCCTTCTCTGTGGCGGCGCCCGCCCTCTGGAACAACCTCCCCCCAGAGCTACGTACAATAACAGACCTCCGGATTTTTCGTCGGGCCCTGAAAACCCATTTATTCCAACTAGCTGGGCTGGCTTGAGTCAAATTTTAAATGGATTTTAAATTGGAATGTTTTAATTACGGCCAAAATTATTTAATTATTTTAAACAGTTTTTAGATTTTGTATGTTTGTATGTATGTCTTGTTTTTACTTTGGCTGTTCACCGCCCTGAGTCCTACATTGGAGAAGGGCGGTATAGAAATTTAAACAAATAAATAAATAAATAAAAAATCTAAAAATTGACATTGACAGAATAGGAAGGACTAAAAAGAGGGCAACAAAGAGGATTCAGGGACTTGAGGACATGCTTTATAAGGACAGGCTGAAGGAACCTGAGATGCTCACCCTGAAAAAAGACAACTTAAAGGAGACATGATAGCCACATTCAGGTACATGAGGAGCTGCAAGGAAAATGAACTATCAACAACTATTTCCATGATGTAAAAACTGGGACCAGAAACTACAGATATGTTACAGCTGCTCCCAGACCTTGCTCCTCATTCTACTTCTCATGTCTGCTCCAAATCGAAGCCAGTATGGCTAACAACTGAAAGATTGAACTGTAGTCACAAACTTGAGCTTCATCACTGAGCAGAGATATGAAAAGCACCATCAGAACTGCTAGGCCCTGTAATACACACACACACACACACACACACACACACACACACACACACACACTACCTGCTTGAGGATATGCACAGCCATTGTGTGAGTGCAGTCAAAGATGATACGGAACTCTCTTCCTCGTTTCATCTCCTTTAGCAGAGGCCGGGAATCTTCTGTGTCGAGGGGCAACTGGCGGATTTTCAAACGGATGTTGTATCTGGATGGAGCCATAATCAACTCCTGCAGCCGAATAAGGCCTTGGGGAAGACAAGGACCAACACAAAATTAGTTGTGCGGGCATTCTGACCCATGCCACTCCTTCCCAAGAGAGGACAAGGCAGTACAGTGTCATGAGAGGACATAATTTCTTCACTGGAGAATTCCTGATATGCTATAGACTGATCCAGGTTGGTGAGTCTAGCACTCTGAATTATGCAGGGCAATAAAAAGCCATCTTCCCAATGTCAAATGGATTTGAAAGTTCAGACAAAGGCTCATTAGGGAAAAAGTATTCCATTGTACAGAAGAACAATCCGTGATTCCAATTATGCTATCCCAAACAATTAAGAAAAACACCTGGCCCAGACAAAGTATCACTGAATCTACATAGGTGAGCAGGTTTTGCAATTACAAGTAACAGCAGCAGCAGCAGCAAATTTAAGCTAAGGAAATGAAAGCTGAGAAGAACAAGTATCATTAAATGACATCTAGTGCCAGAAGCAATCCTTTGACATCTTCTCCACCAGAAAATGTGTGCATGCTGTTGGCTCAAGTATCTCCTTGATGGAGGAATCACCAATTCTCTCTCCTCTGGGGAAAGACAGCAGAACTGGACCCTTCCCTGTTTGAAACCTGAAGGAGAAAGTCCAGCCTAGCAGTCTAAGCAGCATGGTAGAGATTCATCTGAGGGAGGTCATCAGACTGCTCTGAGAAGGACAAAGGGCAGTGACAGGGGCAGCCTTTTCATATTGCAGCCAAGGAGGCCCAGAGGTGCTTTTTCAAAAGGCAACTGGACTTTGTTTTTCCTTGAAGATGTTTTGCTTCTCATCCAAGAAGCTTCTTCAGTTCATGGCAACATGGACAACATCATCTGGGTGACTGAGAATCTCCATATACATGACCATGGAGACCCACTAAAAGAAACGAACAAGTTCCAGCAGACCAGAAGAGGCTGCCATTATTCTTTAATATGCTAGCAGCACTCATTTTACAGCCACTCCGAAGTGAGTTAGAAATATTATTTAGTAGCATATTAATATTATTTTAATATATTTATACTATTTATTTATTTATTTATTAAATTTATTGACCACCCATCTTACCCCAAGGCAACTCTGGGTGATTTTCAATAATAAAAAGATAAAATTTTACAAAACCTATACAGAATAGGAACTAAATAATAAAAAAAGATAAATACTCAGCCCTAGCTAAAAAATGGGGAGGGAGGAAATAGGATGAGTGGGGTGTGTGAGAGGGATCTGTTATTAGTCTGTCAACCATCCCAATGGGAAGCCCTCCCCAAGCCAGCTGGCAGAGTCAGGTCTTTACTCAAAGAATGGCATATTTTAAATGATTTGTTAAAATGTCCACAGAGTCATAATTTAAAACAAGCAATTCTAAACTGCGCCCACCCCATATTCAGTGAGGAGGAAGCCAAGAGGGGCCTGCCAGGAGAAATCACAGTTTTCATGCTCCTACAGAAAAGGCTCTGCTCTGTGTGACTTCATCACATGACAGAACCCAAAATGTGGAAAGAAAATTAAGGATTGCCCAACGAAAGAGGAGTTGGAGCACAAGGGCAGTCCACACTAGTGGAAACAGGACTATCACCATTGTATCTCGCATAGGAAGAGCCCGGAGAAATAGCTGCAAGAGACTCTGGTGACAGGGTCAGTCTGGTCCATTCTCCTGAATGTGGGCAACTGTAACACTTGTTCCCTTCCTTGGTAGCCACTATCCATATTTTCCTTGAGGCTTAGGGAATAGGGCCAATGGAGACATTTTTGACAAGGGACACATCCCCAGTCCAACTTACCTGTGCTGTCATCGTACACCACAGTGGCCGACCTCCACTTCAGGTACTGTACAAGGTCCAAGATGGCATGGCTGAGAGAGGCATAATCCGGGTAGAGATTGACATAGAAGGTGTCCTTATTGTCCAAAGGGTGATGCTTCCACCGCAGCTGTATGTGAGGAACCTCCAGCGCATTGCAGATGGACTGGACCGCATTGGTGCATGAGCCCTGAGAAGGCCCAAAAATAGCTACAACGCCCAGGGCAAGCTGGTCACAGGCTGGGAAGAAAAGAATCCAGACCGTTAGCCAGACTTACTCTGGAGGATATCAGGTGTGATTTACAGAAGCCATGAGGTGGCTAACCAACCCGCCCAGGAGCCTCCCAGGTGTTATTCCACCTCACCGGCAAGTAATTGTAAAGTTCATTTAGCTCTTTAGTACTAAGCATGATGTGTCTTTCTGTGCCTCTTTCTGTACCCATTAGCTTTTCATTCTTACTTTCAGTTTTCATTCTCCCTAGTGGTTTGTACACTGTGACTGTGTTTTCATCCATTACCAGTACCGGTTACAGCTTTTCGGTGGTGTGTGCATGGTGCAGTTGGCATGAACCACACGATGCAAAGGTGCTTAAACAAAACAGACTAAGCCATCTCTTGACCCTGCTTGTTGTGAAACTGGTGCATCACCATAGCAAATTGCTATGGCCCCTCCAAAGGCTTCCTGGATCCCTACAAGAACTACATCATCTTGAAGTCAGTGCTGTCCAATGGCTAAATGGCCATAAGCTTAGCCATTCTAGTAACTGTTCATACATCATTTAATTTTATTCACAAAAGTCTGTATTACAGCAAGCATTTCACAAATATCATAAAGAAAACATAGATGTCTTAAACAGACTAGGGGACTTAAAATCAAAACAGGGACTAAAAAATCAAGGAATTGATCTGGACTGGTGGCCACATATTCAAATACAAATGAGACACAAGAAAGATGCAGAAATATATGGATTTTACAAAGAACACCTAGAATTAGATCAGATATTCCTAGGGACAGATGATAAATTAATAAAGAAAATTTATAATTATTTATTGAACTTTACAATGGAAGAAGAACATGTAAAAGAAACTATGATAGTATGGGCCAAAAACTTTGGATCAACATAGAATTAGACAATTGACAAAAACTTTGGGAAAGAAATTACAAACTAATGATGTCAACAGCATACAAAGAAAATCTTTATAAAAAGTTCTACAGATGGCATTTGCCACCAGCAAGAATGGCAAAGATGTTCCAAAACATATTGCCAGAGTGCTGGAAATGTAAACAGATACAGGGGTCCTATTACCACATGTGGTGGACTTGTCCAATGGCAAAAAAATATTGGTTAAAGATAAAAAGGTGGTTAGAAAAAATGATAGCACAACAAATAGATTTAAAACCAGACTTATTCTACTAGGCAGCGGTGAAATGCTCCCAGTTCAGACCGGATCGCCTGATCCGGTAGCAATGGAAGCAGGTGGTTCGGAGAACCGGTAGCAAAAATCCCTGCCCTGCCCCATGCCCAGCTGAGCCGCACAATCATCAGAGGCTTTTTTTTTTTACTTTTAAAAGCATTTTTTCTACAACCTCTTCGGCCGAAAAAATGCTTTTAAAAGTAAAAAAAAAAAGCCTCTGATGATCAGGCAACTCAGCTGGGACCGTCAGAGCCTTTTGAAAGCATTTTTTTTTTACAGAAAATGGTAGAAAATGTAGAAAAAATGGTTTTAAAAATAAAAAAAAATTGGCCATGCCCACCCAGTCACATTACCCACCACCACCAAGCCACACCCACAGAACCGGTAGTAACAAATTTTAGATTTCACCACTGCTACTAGGTATATTACCGGGGAAATACAAGAAAGAAGCATATATTTAATATTACATGTAATAACAGCAGCAAGAATTATCTATGCACAAAACTGGAAAAGCGAAAGTGTACCTATAGATGAAAATATAATAAAGAAAATACTAGACTGCGCCAAAATGGACAAGTTAATGATGAGAATTAAGGACAAAGAGGAATCAGAATATTATTTAACATGGGACTTATTCTATAGATGGTTAGAAAACAGAAGCAGAAGTTAGTAAATTTATAATTAAGAATGATTAATAGAATAGAGTTAAATGTGTGTGTATATATATATATATATGTGTGTGTGTGTGTAAACACTTAATCAGAGCCTTGGTGGCGCAGCAGACTAAAGTGCTGTTAAGTGGCTTAGGACCTGGGTATTTATAAGACTGCCTGCTGCTACCAATAGCCTCCCACCAGCCAATTCGATCCCACAGAGAGGGGCTCCTCCGAGTGCCTCATCGGCCAAGCAATGTCGGCTGGCGATCCCCAGGGGTAGAGCCTTCTCTGTGGCGGCTCCTGCCCTCTGGAATGAATTGCCCCCCAAGATGCGGAGGATTCCCAGTTTACGCACCTTCCGCTGGGCCCTCAAGACGCTTTTATTTCAATAAGCCGGGCTGGCCTAATTTTTTAAATTTTTTAATTGTCTATTCTTAATTTTTAAATGTCTAAATCGGGTAGTTTTATTTTAATTAGATATGGGCCAAACTATTTAATATTTTTTTAAATTGTTTTTAAATTTTATATTTGTGTGTTTTATGCTGGCTGTACACCGCCCTGAGTCCCTTTTTTAAAAAAAATTGAATTTGTATACCGCCCTACTCCCGAAGGACTCAGGGCGGTGAACAGCCATAGAATAAAACATAAATACAAAATTTAAAATAGAATAAAATGAATTAAATAAATTTGGCTGAACAAATTTAAAACCCCAATAATTTAAAACCAAATTTAAAATTTCCATTTAAAAAGGGGAAAAACTTAGGTCAGGCCAGCTTGATGAAATAAGAAAGTCTTGAGCGCGCAACGGAAGGTATGCAGATCCGGGATCCTCCGTATCTCTGGGGGGAGCTCGTTCCAGATAGTAGGTGCCCCCACAGAGAAGGCTCTCCCCTTGGGGGCCGCCATTGTTTGGCCAACGGCACCCGGAGGAGCCCCTCTCTATGGGAGCGTGCTGGTCAGTGGGAGGCTATTGGTGGTAGCAGGCAGTCCCATAAATAACCTTTGGGAGAAGGGCAGCATATAAATTAAATTAATAAATTAATAATAAAAAATTATTTTATTAATTTTTATTAATAATAAAAAATAAATTAAGTAACACCAGCTGCCTGCAATTACTGCAAGTTCAAATCTCACCAGGCTCAAGGTTGACTCAGCCTTCCATCCTTTCGAGGTAGGTAAAATGAGGACCCGGATTGTGGGGGCAATAAGCTGACTTTGTATAAAAAAAGAACACCGCTTAGGGGGGACCGAAAGCCCTACTAAGCAGGTATATACAAAAGTATGAAGGCTATTGCTTAATGCATTGTAAGCCTCCCTGAGTCTCTGAAGAAGGGCGGCATATAAATCGAACCAATTAAAAAAAAACAAAAAATTAAAATAAATAATCTCTCCCCTGGCTCAAGCTGATGAAGGGAGGAGAACTTGTGGCTCAGAGGTTAATGCAACTGTCTAACATGCAGGCAGCCCAAGTTCTAATCCAAGTAAGGGTATGGCTAGCTGATGAGAGAGAAATAGTTTGAAATAGATCTATACTAGTCTCCTCGTATTTCTTTATCAGCGAAATATAAATTTGGTATAAAATGGTTTGTCGTGAATGCGACTGCTTGAGGGCTCCTGGATTGGAGCTGAAAGGCGAAAGGGATGCAGTATGCTCCCTCCCACATGCTGAGGTAGACCAGGTGCCTCAATAGAAAAACACTATATATATATATATATATGTATGTATGTATGTATGTAGATATATATATGTATATGTATATGTATGTATATGTTTTCTGAGGTTTTCGCGGGTGTTTGTATGTAGATCTTTGTTTATTCAGATTTTCTCCCACGTAAAATTGGAAGTGTCTTAGCGACGTTTCGACGAAGTCTCATTCGTCATCTTCAGGCTGGTGTTTTCGGCTTCATGCTTCTAGAAGCGATCACGAAGCTGAAAACACCAGCGTGAAGATGACGAATGAGACTTCGTCGAAACGTCACCAAGACACTTCCAATTTTACGCAGGAGAAAACCCGAATAACCAAAGACCTACACACACATGCACACACACACACACACACACACACACACACACACACACACACACACTTCTCTTTAACCAGGTTCTACCTACATGAACCGTGTACTATCAGTATCAAATCTCTTTTGAATACACATATTATACACCCTTAATTATAGCCAGTTTCATTGTATATACAATATGATCTTTACTCTTGATCATTCTATACAATTTAATCTGTGATCAAATACAATTCAATAATAATAATAATGTATAATGTTATGTGTATGTATGTATGTATGTATGCCCATTGGGAGACTAAAAAAAGCCTAGAAACTAGTGGATTGGGATTTCACTGAACTAGGGCTGCATAAAAATCTTGGTTTACGTAGGAAGAACCTGGCTAAAGAGAAATACATACATACATACATACATACATACATACATACATACATACATACATACGCATAACATTATACATTATTATTATTATTGAATTGTATTTGATCACAGATTAAAATTGTATAGAATGATCAGGAGTAAAGATCATATTGTATGTACAATGAAACTGGCTATAATTAAGGTGTATAATATGTGTATTCAAAAGAGATTTGATAACTGGTAGTACACTGTTGTTGCACAAATGGAAATGTGATACATAACATGTATATAACAGAAAATGTATATTAAAAAATAATATAAAAAATAGAACACAAATGTTGGCTCGGCTTTGGGTTCAGCTATGATCAAAATATATGGAATTTCCATTCCCTGCTATTAAAGGCAGATCAGAAGAGTTGTGTATCTTCAGAGTTGTAGCCCAGGGCTCTATATTTGTTATCCCCTCAGCTTTCCAGGGTTGTGACACACTGAGTACACGCATCCTTCAGCAAAATGATTTACGACACCCTGCGTGTTACATCGACCTTGTCTTGGTGAGAGGGAGGCAAGGGTTGTGAACCTTGTACCCCTGGATGTTGTAAGAGAGCACCGCGAGTGACTGTTCCAGATAGCTGGCCTTACATCTACTGTGACATTGATGGTCCCCCATTTGCCATTGCCATATCTGTTCCATGGCTGATGAAGGCATCTCAAACTTACGCAAGTGCTGAACTACATGCCCTCAGGAATGCCCCCCATTCCTGGGTGTGGCTGACTGGCCTCTCCAA